AGGTCAAGTAGGTGTTGATCTTAGTATATAATTGTTGTAGGTGTCTTACAAGCCGTGCTCGCTGCCTACATCCATTTGTGTGCCATTTTCTCCGTTGCTACACCAGGTGGGTTTACTTATAATAATTATCTATGCCATACGTGTGTTTAAGTGTTTGGTTAGTATGAACAATGTATGAATGTGAACCATGTGGCCTACTGATGTGAGCTGTTATGGCCATCGGTACGGTTGTCCCGGTCGAGTTACGGTACGGTTGCCCTTGCGAGGCAAGTCTCCCTAAGTCCTAATGAAAGGCCATATCGGACTAAGTCACATGGCGTGCTTTCGATATGCGTGTCGAACTAAGTCACATGGCGTGCTTTCGACATGTACTTCTATTGTCTGGTTGACGAGCTAAGTCACATGGCGTGCCCTCGAACAGACCAACAGTAGCTAATGATAGGTGTGTACACATGAGTGAGTTATTGTTGTGATTAGGAGATGAGACAGGATGATGATTGATTTATATTCATACTGCGACCATACCATCTTAACATGTATTATTTATGTGCATAGTGGTGAGCACGCTTTTCATCTAGTGCTCATCCCCACCTGCTCTTTACCGATGCAGGTTAAGCAGGAGCTGGGTGACGAGAAGAGGCGAGTGAGTCGGTCATTTCTATTTATCGCTTCCGTATGAATAAGGCTTTATGAACCGTTATGTTAAGACTTGATTATGCTATTTTCCAGAACTTATGACTTGCTTGTTTTGGAAATTTGTGGAACCCGGATTGTTGAGTATTATGGTTTGTTTATATTCATGTTGGGTATTATGTCTCGTGATGTGTTTCGGTTAATGAAAACCGTTTGTGAAAACTGGGTAATGAATCCCCGTGAGCCCAGATAAGACTTGGGTTATGAAAAATGTTGTTTAACACCCATTGAATTTTCGACAATGATTTTGAAAATTTTTCACTGATTTTTGGAAAGTCTAGAATTTCTTTAAAATCAAAGTGGGGTGTTACACCGAGTACCCAGCGATGTTCCCTGTGCTTCCAGCATCGCCCGTGCACCTGCTGCCAGTCGATGCCCGCGACGCACACGCCCAGTCTGCCTCGGCATAAGAGTGTTGCCCCACGTGCACGCAAACGTCCAGCGCCAGTCCGCGACCGCTAAGGAGTCCCACCAGGCACGTCCGCAACACGCACGCTGCCAGTGCTCGACCGCTGTGATCCGCGTACCTGCCAGCGACCAGCGCCCAACGCGCACGACGCCCGTTGCACCTGACGACCGAGACCAGTGCAGCGTTCGACTGTGATTCGTTTAACGTGTCGATTAGAATCGACTAAAGGCCAAACCTATTTGCCCATTAGGTTGTGGTGTTCAGACGAACTTCACCAACGGTACTCTACATCGTCTCAGAGTCGGCAAAAATTTTAAAAGGTAAACGTCCATATCCTAACTATAGATTCCGCTGCATTAGGATTTATTTCCATAAAGTTCAATACTGTGCATGTTGTTTGACGTTCCTAACAGAACCCAACAACTGGTATCAAAGACCAGGCTTAATGCAAACTCGTGCACAGTTTGAATTTTGGACTTTGCCTGTCTACATGAATTATGTGCGTACGGACGCAGTGAAATAGTAGATTAGAAATTGCAATAAGTTTTTGCAGGTGTTTCGAATCCAACTATTGTGGCCCGTATGTATGGATTTCAATTCATGTTGAATGTATGCTGTTTTTA